GTGTATCACTATTACCTGTTGACAACTTAGTAGCGTCGAAATAACGCCTCACGTGCAGTTTGTTGACTCCATTTATTCCGTTTGATCTTCATCTCCGCTGCCAGCCAGCAGGAGGCGCAGCGGCTCCGGTTCCGCTTCTCTTTGAACGTTTCCGGTGCTGCACTGCCACCCACTGGACGGAGTCAGACATTTCATTATGATAATTTTTTAGGGTTTTTATTGTGGAAGTCCGGGTGAACCAGACTGAGGCGGCTAAACGTGCCACTGGAATACAGATTCACACAAAAGTTAAAAAAATATACAGACTGTTTAGTAAGGGAAAATTTAAACCATACCTGTTAAAGTAGTTCAAGTAACAACAGACTGAGCGGACATAAAATACACAAATAAATAAAGAACACAACACATATATTGACTTTTATTTATAAACTAATTAATCTTTTCAAACTCCCAATTCAGCCTCATTTTATTTTGTGTGATCAGTTAAAACTGTCTGGATCAACAGGACTTGGACCTGGACTGTTTTGTACTCGGTTCTAATCCAGCCTGTTTTCTGTCACCATATAATCGGGACTAAATTCAATTAAATTTAAGATTTTTTTTTTTCTCGTGTAGTGCTTTTGAGCATTTTGTTTTTAACCTTTTAATCTGATTATTTAATTTTATTTTTTAAGCTTTTTTAAAATATATATATATTTGACTTTATTGTTTTTATATGTATTCTTATAATTCAATACTTTTATCATTTCTTTTAAAACAAAGATTTTTTTGTAATTTTACCTCAGTAAAGGTTTTTTTTTTTATGTTATTTTAGATTACGTAATTTTTTAGTGTTTTCTGTGACGTGGTAGATGTCCGGGTGTGAGATCGGAAGTCTCGTGCTGCGGGCTGTCAGCAGGTGGAGCCAGAGAGCAGGAAGCGCTGCGGGCTGTCAGCAGGGGGAGCCAGAGAGCAGGAAGCGCTAGGCGGCCAGCCTGCCAGCTGTTTTCCTTTAGTCTGAGTAGCGAGCTGTTCTGGTTGTTTTCATGAGGAACCGAACGTACTGATCCGGAACCAGCTCCAAACAGAACCACTCAGTGAGTATGTGTAGCTCCTCATTGGGGCCAGCCTGGTTCTGGTGTCCTGATTTAATCAGTCCGGATTTAATCTGCTGAGCTGCGTGAGGGAGGTTCTGGATTCAGAACCTCTGCCCGCTCCGCTGGGAGATCAGAGGTCCTGGAGGGTTCCGGTCCAGAACCAGTCCGGGTTCCTGCTGATGTCCTGCTTGTCTAAACAGATTTGGTTCTGGTTCCTTCATTTGAGCATTCTCAGACTGGGAATGTTTGGATCCAGGTTCTGCTGGTTCTGGTTGCATTGTGTTCCTGTGCAGGAAGCAAATACTCGGGTCAGAACCGGTCCGTCCGGTTCCAGAGGCGGGACGGGAATGTTTGAGATGCAGGGCGGGTCCAGCAGGATGTCCTGGACCGCTGAACCTGCTGGAGCAACCGGGCCCAACCAGAACCTCAGGACCAACACAACAGAACCATTCAGAAGCAGGCAGGGAAAACAAACCGCGTTCTGGTTCCTGTTCTGGGTTCTCTGGGTGAAACCAGAACCAGAACCTGGTGCTTTTGTATTTTTTCTCAGAGGTTCTGATCCAAAGCTACAGCAGATGGTTCTGGTTCTGATTGAGAGTAGACCTGTTTTGGTTTTAGATGGTTCTAGTTTCTTGTGGTTGTGTTTCTGTGTGGTTCTGGTTCTGTTTGGTTCTGTGTGGTTCTGGTTCTGTTCGGTTCTGTGTGGTTCTGGTTCTGTGTGGTTCTGATGTTGCTGTGGTCTGTTTCAGCTGATGGACACTGAGAGCGGGGCGGTTCTGCCTGGAACCGGGCCGGCGACCCACTGGCCCGGTTCGATCGGCTTCAGCGGCCCAAGAGAGCCCCTGCAGGACTGGGTGGTGGACCCCAGCTGTGTGAGTTGATAATAATGATGCATGTTCTTGGTGAACAGGTGAGTTCTGAGGTGTGGAGTTCCACTTTATTTGGAGGTGATGGAGAGAGACGATACCGATCCGGCTGCGGCCGGGAAGGGGCGGAGCCACTTTGTGTTACTGATACACTCACCTTCTACCTGAGCAGAATGATGAAGATGGGCGTGGTCTGACCATAAAGGGCCGGTATCCTGTTAAATCGACTGCTTAGATCTCTGTTTTTCCCTGATGTGTTGCTTTGATCCCTTCATGTTTAACATCTGAGGCGTAGCTTCTTCAGACTAGCCAGCAGCGATTAGCATGGGTCTAATTTCCAGCACCCACTGGAAGGAGCCGTATTTACTGTGATTTGCTAATCTATATTCATGATTGAAGTTACAGCTCCCTTTTATTACAATACAATATTTAGTAAAACTTGTTTAGTGAAACAGTCACTATCAGAGAGCTGCTCTGCACATGGTGAGTTTAATCACCAGAACCCAACCGAACCGCACATTTCCAGAGGCAAGAGAGCAACTTGCCTCTGGAAAGTGTCAAGTTGCTCCCAATAATCAGACCAAGTTTAGTGTGCAGCAGCAGCTGGTGTGTTTTTAACGACTCCCAAAACAAAAGCTGCAGATAAGCAAACAAAATAATTTGGATAAAAATGTTAACATTGAAGAAGCCAAAATGCTTTATGCTCATTTCATTGTGTGGATGAAGAAAACCTGCATCTGCATCCAGAACAACTGAGTCAGTGAAGTAGCTAGCTATGCTAGTTCTGGTAGCTAGCTATGCTAGTTCTGGTAGCTAGCTATGCTAGTTCTGGTAGCTAGCTATGCTAGTGCGGTAAAACAATATTGTCACATTTAAGTTTTGATAGCGGGTGTTTTCACATATTTTAAGCTGGTTAGCGAGTTGCTAACATGTAAACAAATGATAGTTCCAGTTTGCAGCAGAAGTTGCACTCATAAATCACACAATGCCTCATGGTGGCTCGGAATAAGGTGGATAAAACTGCACTATGTGCCTGAAAAATACCTGATACTGCCCCTTTAAGGTGGAAGCAGTGCCAGTGAATTAGACTTTTCTTCATAACAATCTGACAGGAAGTGGGCTCAGAGGAAAGGCAGAGCTGGGCTTTGTCAGCGTAACAACAGATATTATTCTTTCTGCTGAATGTGAGGCCAGGATGTTGATCTGAGCCCTGGGCAACACCTGCAGAAACTTAGACTGGATCACACCGGACACACTGAAGGTACGACGTAGATGGATGCTAATGGACGCTTAGCATCCTCCAACTTAACCTGGAGGATAAGATGAGTAATGGAGGCGGGACTCCTTGGTGTTAGCAGAGTGTTTTACCTGAAAGGCAGTCTGAGCGCGCTCAGTTGGTCTTCTGGGCCGGAACCAGAATCCTGTAGGTGCTTCTGGACCAGGTGGTTCTGGGTCCGGCCCCCTCGGCTCATCTGTTCTTACTTCCTGTCAGGTGACCTTGGACGACAGCGAATCGGAGGACATCCTACAGGCCGTCGACCCCAACGAAGTGTTTGGAGCCGGTACCGGGCCCACCAACACCGGGCCCACCGACACCGGGTCCGCCGACACCGGGCCCGCCGACACCGGGCCCGCCGACACCGGGCCCACCGACACCGGGTCCGCCGACACCGGGCCCGCCGACACCGGGCCCGCCGACACGTCGTCCGAGAGTGACAGCGGCATCTCGGAGGAGACCCCTATTGCCATGGTGACAGCAGTGAACACGGAGACCAGCCAGCCATCAGTCTACCAGGTGGTCTATGACATCAGCTCTGTGGGTGGAGCCAAATCTGAACCCGGTCAGGAGAACATCATCTCCATCGAGCTGGGTAGGTCCGGTTCTGACCCAGTCCTCACTCGGTCCACATGATGATATAATATGATGAAGTCATCAACTCACCTCGTTTCCTTTTTCTCCCACTACAAACCCCCCCGCCCCCCTTTCACCCCGGCCCCTCCCGGTGGGCCCCCCCCCCCCGGCCCCTCGCCTGCTCCTCCAGATGAGTGGAGTTCCCAGCTGCTGTTTTCAGACTCCTGCATCATGGCCCCGTCTTCATCCTCTCCATCTGACTGCAGCTCCGCCCCTCTCTCAGGTAGCAACAGGTAAGACTTCCTGTCAGTTAGTATCATCAGAGGACGTTTGAGGCTGGAAGATTCACTCTTCCTCTTCAGGTGCCGCTGTTCCCTGACCTGCGGCTGACGGAGGAGGAGCAGAAGCTGCTGACGGAGGAGGGCGTGTCCCTGCCCAGCAACCTTCCACTCACTAAGGTCCAACAGAACCGCTTCTGGCCGCCGCAAACGCATATAAAGATTACATTTTGGAAAATGTTCACCAGTGCACTAGGACTTCCTCAATTCAGGGATTAAATTAATTTCATCTCAGCAAATGCAGCGTAGCTGGTAATGAGTTTCTATGACGAACTGAGGTGTCATTTGGGCCAAGGTCAGAGTTCATCTATTAAACTGAATGGAGATGAAAACATAAACCCAAAGCTGGACATTTTCAGAAGCGTATTGTGAGCCTGCCTCTTTATTATTGAACTGAACAGAATTTCAGATTCTTATATAACTTTTCTTCAGGTTGACTTAGAAACTGAGATGTTATTGTTACAAATTCGTTTTCTAAACTACAGAAAAGTAAATGGTATAGAAGCTCAAATATGAAAATTGGACTGGTATTGATATCTGATAGTAACTGCTGTTTTGTATGGAGATTTACTAATATTGTATTTCATCTTTTTTTATCCGATTCCTCGTTTAATCGTAAGAATAATCAATAGATTACTCAATTACTAAAATATTTATTTACAACAGCCCTAGTTGACAGTGATGTCCAGTCCAGGGCGGCCATCTTTTTTTGCAGCTTGACTTCGTCTCTGACGCGTTTCTCTCCCGCAGGCCGAAGAGCGGATCCTGAAGAAAGTCCGCAGGAAGATTCGGAACAAGCAGTCGGCTCAGGACAGCCGCAAGAGGAGGAAGGAGTACATCCACGGCCTGGAGAGCAGGTACCGCTGGGGGCCAGCAGGGGGCGCCACAGGGTCACACGAGGTACAATCCTTGTGATGCCATGGTAACTTGTGAGCTGACTGACAGCGCCCCTCGTGGCCTGACCTCGCTACCATCTTAATGGTTCTGATCCGGTCTTGTTCTGGTTCTTTCTTCAGGGCAGCGGCGTGCTCGGCTCAGAACCAGGAGCTGCAGCGAACCGTGGAGCAGCTGGAGAAACACAATGTGTAAGATGATTCCTCTGGTTCTGATCCAATGTTTTCCTGCTGTAGAGCCAGGAGCAGACTTAAACTAATGTGCTTCTGTTTACGCTGAGCGCATTAGCGTTAGCTTCCACTAAATACCATGTCGGTATGGTGATTTAGCATCAGCAAGCTAATGTTCATGCTGAGTGCATTAGCGTTAGCTTCCACTAAATACCATGTTGGTATGGTGATTTAGCAACAGCAAGCTAATGTTCATGCTGAGCGCATTAGCGTTAGCTTCCACTAAATACCATGTCGGTATGATGCTAATGTTCATGCTGAGCGCTTTAGCGTTAGCTTCCACTAAATACCATGTCGGTATGATGCTAATGTTCATGCTGAGCGCTTTAGCGTTAGCTTCCACTAAATACCATGTCGGTATGGTTTAGCATCAGCAAGCTAATGTTCATGCTGAGCGCATTAGCGTTAGCTTCCACTAAATACCATGTCGGTATGGTGATTTAGCATTAGCAAGCTAATGTTCATGCTGAGCGCATTAGCGATAGCCTCCACTAAATACCCATCGGTATGATGCTAATGTTCATGCTGAGCGCTTTAGCGTTAGCTTCCACTAAACACCATGTCAGTATGATGGTTTAGCATTAGCAAGCTAATGTTCATGCTGAGTGCTTTAGCGTTAGCTTCCACTAAACACCATGTCGATATGATGGTTTAGCATTAGCAAGCTAATGTTCATGCTGAGTGCTTTAGCGTTAGCTTCCACTAACACCATGTCGGTATGATGGTTTAGCATTAGCAAGCTAATGTTTCATGCTGAGTGCTTTAGCGTTAGCTTCCACTAAACACCATGTCGATATGATGGTTTAGCATTAGCAAGCTAATGTTCATGCTGAGTGCTTTAGCGTTAGCTTCCACTAAACACCATGTCGGTATGATGGTTTAGCATTAGCAAGCTAATGTTCATGCTGAGTGCTTTAGCGTTAGCTTCCACTAAACACCAATGTTGGTATGGTGGTTTAGCATTAGCAAGCTAATGTTCATGCTGAGCACATTAGCACAGCTAGCCTTTTCGTTGGCGGTAGCCTCCAGGAGCTGGACAGATGTTCTGGTTCTTCTAGCTATCTCGTCATGGTAACAGTGGCTGATGATGCAGACCAGGTTCTGGTTCTGGTTCTGAGCCGTGCAGTGATTCTGTCTCCTCTCAGGTCCCTCCTCTCTCAGCTGCAGCAGCTCCGCTCCCATCAAGCAGTCGGCCAGTAAAGGAGCAGACCAGCACACTGCTTACTGGTGAGGAGCTCTTGGAGGTTCTGTGGTTCTGACGGCGTCGGGTCCGCCGGACCGGTTCGGGGACGCTTGTGGAGTCAGAACCGCTTTCTGTTTGTCCTCAGATCCTACTAGTGTCCCTCAGCCTGATCGTCCTGCCCAGCTTCAGCCCATTTAGCCGTCGCACGTCAGCCGACGACGACTACAGAACCGCCGCAGGTCGGATTGGACCTCTCGCCTGTTCGCGGTTCCACTAAGACTCGGTTCTTTGGAACGAGACGAACCCGGTAGGCAGGTCAGCCTACCGGGTCGGAACCTCAGGAAATAATCATTTTTATTTTCTGCAGTTGTATCCAGAAACATCCTGACGGACCCAAACTTCTCCAATCCGGCAGACGACGGCGTCGGTTCCGCTGAACGGTTGGACTCATCGGTGCCTCCTGAGCTCAGCCAATCAGGGTCAGCAGGGGGTGCAGCGGCACTGCCGGAGCCAATAGGACCCTGGAAGGCTTAGCGGGCGATGACAGCAGCCAATCACAGAACGGGACGGCTGCTGTTGCCAGGCAGACCGGCCGTGAGCCGGGAAAACTCGGACACGCTGATGAGATGTAACCAGAACCTCCAGCAGGGGCCGCCAGACTGACGCTGAGCAGCTGGAGCACTGATTCTGTTGGATCAGAACCAGAACAGTGAGATTCTGGAGCGATACCCTGACCAGACTCGGGTTTGAAAGTGGATCCAGCAGCCGGACAGGACTTCACAGAAACTGTTTCTGTCTCTGCTGCACCAGACCTGGGACCGGAACCGACCCGTTTCATGTTCAACTTGTGGAGACACACTGATGTTCTGTCCTGGGATGTTTCCGGGTTGGTTTGTGGGTTCTGGTTGTTCAGTAAATCATGTGATGCTGCAAACAGGTCCTTATTTCCAGTTTCAGCGCGTCCTCCTGCTCACTTATCAAGACTAAAAATTACAATTCAACATTTTTCATCCTATAAAATATGACTCATTAATATGTACAATGTAACCAAAATAAGGAATCACTGAATTTTATCACCTTTGTTATTGGCTCCACTTTACAACTTTTTTTAACTTTAAGCTGCATAAAACAGATGGTTTTATGGGTAAAATACTGTCTCTATTAGTCGAATGACAGACTGATGACTTAAATATTAATATATTTAATGTGTAAATCTTGGAAATATGGCAAAGTTCACAGAGCGAACCAATAGAATAAAATCAGTTTTAAAAGTATTGAAATAATATTTGTTTTCCTCAACATGAGTGATTCTATTAAATTTTCTGTATTCAACAAGTCACAACAGAACAAATATCTCCAACAAAAATACCTTTAGTGTGCATTTAAAATTATGTTTTGTTGCAGTTGTACTTTCAGCAGCAGGTGCCTAAGCAGTGACCGGCCGCCACTTGGATGTGACGTTCTGTCCACACTTCATAGGGTTGCTGTGAATACTGAGCACTGATAATGGGCCTTAATCTCCTGGATCAGCAGGGGTTAATATCAGACTATGGCCACCATGCTGGTTTTTCTGAAGAAGCTCCGCCTCTTCAGGAAGCTCCACCAGCAGCCATCTTTAAGCAAAACTCCCACTGAGGAGTACCGCCGTTAGAGGCAAGCACAGAAACACACACAGTGGATACTCAGTAGTTCGCCTCACCTGCAGCTGCTGGTTTCAGCGTCCTGGGAGGAGGAAGTGATGCAGTGGTGACTTCCTGTCTATGCAACCAATCAGCAGATCTTCATCGGTAAACAAACTGGGTCAGAAAACTTTGACTCCTGTTAGGAATTAAAAAGAGGAATAACTTGATTTAGCTCGTTAATTAATTATTTGTCCCGAATTCCTGTGTCTGTGTAAGTGTGCAGAGAGAAAAGAGCAATCATACGACGTCAGACTTCAGATATTCAGAGTTTTATCCAGAGAAAATCAATGCAAGAAGAATGTTGCAATAAGCATCTCACCTAGATCATCAAAAGTCCAAGACATGACAAAACAGAAACAATTAAACTGAGTAAAAAAAGACAAAACAGAAGATGCATCCTCCGGGAAACTCTCACTCAGCACAAAGAGATTCCAACTTCTGCTGTGAAACAAACCATTTTTTATAGACTGCGTATTTCCTCATTTAAATATATGCATTAGGAGGTGTGTTCTTTTCCTTTGTGTGGGCTGTCTCAATGTTAATTTTATTACCTCCTGCTAAAGAGCCCCAAAAGCAGATATACGGCAAACCTTCTCGTATCAGCCGCTGTCCAGTTTGATATATGATTGCAGCTGCAGCGCTATCTGTGCCTCAAAATGTTTCCACAAGAAAGTAGTTTGTATTTTTAACCAAGCTTGCACAAAATGTAATGCTAAATAATGACTATAAGTTTGGATCTAATAAGTAACTAATTCAAAACATGCTTAAAGAAATATAGTTAATTCTAATATAGATAAAATTATTTATAAAAAGTTTTAAGATCCTAGTGAACTTTTGAACCATGCTAAGGAATTTGTTCACTGCCTGGCAGACAGACTCCTGTGTAAAGAGATTCTAGGCTGTTTTCTGTCTAATCCTCTGCGTTCAGAGAGTCACCAGCTGTCCCAGTTTGGATCTGTATCTAAGTTTGTCTTAACCTAAAAGTTAACTTATGTATATTGTGCTACTTTAAAATTCTTATTTCAACACTCCTCAGGTTTTCATGTTGGTCTTCATTGTTCAAAAGTTCTGAAAAGTTCTGGATCCATCAATCCTCTGGTCCTGCTGCTGTGTTCCTGGTTCTGCCCAGCAGGGGGAGCTCTCCCCCACCCATGGAGGTCAGGGCAACTGCTGCTGATCCGCCCTTCCGGAGTCACCGACTCCCCCTCCTTTTCCTCTCCCTCCCTCCCTCTCTTTCACATCTTCCCTTCAGTCAGTCCAGCAGATTTTCCTGCTCCAGCAGCAGCTCCTCCGTCTGTTGCCGTGTGCGGACCGGACCGCTGCAGAGTCCGTGTGTCTGACAGGTGAACTTACCTGAGAAAGACAGAAGTTTCCTGCAGGATTTTCTCAGTTTTTCTGTTGATCATGATGAAAGGAGTCGAGAGCAGCTCAGGTAGGAACAGGTGTTCAGCGGGTTGGGTCGTTGCAGAACGGGCGGTGCGGCGCCAAACAACACCCACCTGGACCAAGGCAGGGAGGATTTCCTGGCTCAGCCCGGGAACGTTCACGAGTTCAGACGGGTTCAAATTGAACCGGTTCATGTTCACAGTTCACCAACAAAGAATGTTCCGTTGGGTCGTTGATTCTTTTGGATTGTTGGCTCCATTGGGTCTTTGAATTCATTGGGTTGTTGGTTTTGTTGGGTAACTCTGGGTTAACCCAACATGGTAGGCAGCAGTGTTTTGTTCTCTGCAGGTTCTGATTGACCCGATCTACACCAAGACGACCCACTACACAGAAATGTTCAGGAGGAAGGAGGCTGGGACTCTTCTGATGGTCCTTCTGGTTCTGTTGGACCTGTCTGCCGGGCATGAGCCCCGCCGGCGCCACGGCAGGGACCAGGAGAGACGGCGCCCGTGGCAGAACATCACGCTGGCGGTGATCCTCCCTCAGAACGCCCGGTACCCCTGGGCCTGGCCTCGGGTTGGACCCGCCGTGGAGCGGGCCATCAGAACCATCAACTCTGACCCGACCCTGCTGCCCGACCACCGCCTCAGTTACGTGTTCAACAACAGCGAGGACAGGAACGGGATCTGCTCCGAGTCAGTGGCTTCGCTGGCGGCGGTGGACCTGAAGCTGGCCCGCGACCCGTGGGCGTTCATCGGCCCCGGCTGCTCCTACGCCGCCGCGCCGGTCGGCCTGTTCACCGCCCACTGGGACGTGCCTATGATCACGGCGGGGGCCACGGCTGTGGCGTTCTACAACGGCGTCTACCCCTCCATCACCAACACGGGCCCCACCCACAAGAAGCTGGGCCGGTTCGGCCTGCGGGTCTGCCTGGAGTCCGAGTGGAGGGAACACGTGGCGCTGGTGTTCAGCGACCACAAGTACGACGACCGGCCGTGCTACTTCGCCATCGAGGGTCTGTACGAGGAGCTGAAGGCGTTCAACATCAGCACCCATCACAGCGTGTTCGAGGAGAAGGAGATCAACTACGCGCAGATCCTCGCCGACATCCAGAACAGCGGCCGCGGTGAGTCCCACTTCCTGTTCCCACCACAGGTCACATGACCTGAGCCACAGCCAGTCGGGTGGTTCCAGCTGACCCGGTTCTGCTGTTTCCAGAAAATGGTTCTGAATTTCCCAGGTCCGATTCAAGAACCAACAGAACCTTTCCTGGGTTTTCCTTCATTCATTCGGTTCTGGAAGAAGAGCTGACAGATCTGTGCTGATTCTCCCAGGAACGAGTCGGGTCGGGTCAACAGCTGCTTTTCAGAACTCGGATATGGTGAGGTCAAAGGTCGTCACTGAGCTCAGCTTTTATTGTCTTACGGTTCCTGTTTCGCACTGAACACTGTGGCAGAGAGTGGCAGGCCAACAGAACCCACCAGAACCGGGACGTCATCAGGTTCTGTTTGGACCTTCTTATTGGCCCGCTGCTGTCTGATTGGGTGGTAGCTTGTGGGCTAGCAGACGTTTTTCTTGGGAGTGTTTTGGCTACAAGGCGCTGATGATCCTAAACACGCCATCAGAACTGGGTCCAAAAGGAAGCCTGAGTCCGATCCAGTCTCACAGCGCCAACAGAACCACAGTAGGAGTTGCACGAAACAAGGTCCCGGTCCAAACAAGATTCTGTTTGGACCAGAACCAGATCCAGCTGGCCCTCAGCAGCAACCCTAATTAGTGGCTTTTATTGTGAAGGTTTACAGGAAGTTGTTGGAATCACCTGAACCATCTCAGCTGACAACGATCAGTATTATTTTGACCTCTGACCTCATGATGGAGCCTCTTGAAGTTCTGCTCCGAATCTCAGCCGTAGTCGGTTCTGGTCCGTGTTCTGTTGGCTCCATCATCCTGACCAGGTGAACCGCTGTGACTTCCTCTGAAGGATCCCAAGGAGCCACGGGAGGCCCGGGTCTGAGGCGTGAGCTGGTTCTGGGCCGGTTCTGCATCCTGATCCGACCTGCCGGTGGCTCTATTAGCCCATCCCCCCCTGCTGCTGCGGCAGGAAATGCGATCCGGATCGATGCGTCTGCTGAGTGGAAACATTACAGCTGCAGAGAAGCAGAACCGGCAGGAAGCGACTGGGTCGGCCCGGTTCCTGGAGAACCTGAGCCGTTCCTCTGGAAAGTTCTCCGGGTCTGCTTCAGGAACCAACCAGAACACTGCAGTCTGGGTCGAAGGGGTTACAGATGATCAGGAACATTTTATTTCTATAAACCGAGAATTTTCCCAGCAGTCCCGACGCTCC